GCATAGATAAAATAGTGATAGGCATCATTTGAACTTACGAAATAAGGATAAACTAGCTATCCCCAAATATAAGCTTCATAAAATATCTAATTCATTTGCGGGGAATTGTATTTTTATGTATAATACATTGCCAGTCGAAATTCAAAATTATCGATAAATAAATTTAAGAAAGTTATAAAACATAGATTGTCTCAAAAGGCGTATTATTGTCTGAACGATTTCTTTAATGACAAGACCGCCTGGCAGTAATATGAATTGCTCCTTAGGTTAGACTGAGTTTATTGGGTGATCTTCTCAGTTATGTTGTTCTTTTAAACACTCTGTAGAATCACGACGAACAGACAGACAAACCAAAAAAAAAAATTGATTTTTTTTTTGTATATTTTATTTTACTTCAAGGCCGAGCTGGAACTAAAGAAGTTCTTTAAAAACAAATACCGAAAAGAATTTCGCCAGGTGCGCGATCTAAAGCCTACAAGCAATTAGACCAACGAGAGAGTCAATGTAAATAAATAATAAAAAAAAGAATAATGTTAGTATAGCCATTCACGTCTCATCGTACAAAAAGTAATGTTGTCATAGGCCTACAGAGAGCTGTGGAGAGTACACAACTTACGTTTTAGCTAAGTGCTTTCCGATATTTTCCTAGACGCCTCAGAGTACGTGAAACGTGTACATGTATGACGTGCTCATTGGTCTAATGGTAGCAACGCATGGGTCGTAGGTGCGATCCCCACTGGGTCCAATATTTTTCTAATCTAGTCCAATATTTAAAATGTTTCTGAAACATATTGGACTTCTGGAAATCTGTATTTCCAGAAGTCCAATATGTATATGTCGAGTTTTAATGCGTTAAAAGTGTTTTATACATAACTGTACTTGCGTTTAGCAATATTTCTTACGCAAATAATACAATACAACAGCTCAGTAAAGACATCTCGAATCGAATGATCGAGATACAAACATTTCGACGTTGACTCGATACGTACGACGTCAATTTGAGTCTCTTATATTAAATGAAAAAAGGTTGTAACATATCATACGCGCACATAATTCGTTTCACTTCATAAAACTCAAAAAGGGTACACATTGTTATAGTATAGTACAGCTATGAAAATAGTTGTCTGTATGCGTATAATCTCCGCCATCACTGTACCCAAATGGTTACACCTATTGCCTAGCATTAGCGCGAGAGGTCCTGAAAATTGTTTCAGTCGGGCACAGAAGTCTGATCAACTACTTGCCTTTAAAAACTTTAATATGTTTTACATGTACATGTATTTTTCACATGAAGGCACTATATAATTTAAAAATCGAAAAAAAAGATTTTTTTTTCAATTTTTTCAACATATTTTCCATTTTTAAACTACTTGCCTGTTAAAGAACGGATCAGTGAAACGGATACAGAAATGTGTTCGCCCCATGCCCCACGAGGGGGAAACTTTATTTCACACACAAAAATGTGTGTAATAAAGATGAGAAAAGGCTGGAGAAAAGTGAGTATTTGCAAGACAGAGCTTCACATCTATATTTGTGTACCTAGAGGGAGGGTCTATTAGGAATCTTTAGAATCCAAACACCTATATGGTTTTATTATATTAAACTGGGTTTTACTTTGTTATGCATTTATTATTATAAAACATTAATTATAAAATATTAATTGGAACTTGGCGATAAAAGGAGTGGCGGCGAGTTTAATGCCAGTTCTTCTCGCTCGTTCTACGCCCTTGATCTAAGAAGGTAGTAAATGTAAATTTAGATCCTTTAGTTTCGTGACACTTATTAGTGTACCTAGTTACCTACAAGAATAAATGATTTGAAAGCAAAGCAATCGTTTGAAGATTATGTATGCATTGAAAGTTTACAAACAATATCGTACCCAATATGTACAATAAATATTTGTAATCTTGCAACAGAAATTAAGTAATTAACAACATCATCTTTAAAAGCCAAGGGTCTTGTCAATAAAGCTTACTTGATCTGTTGAGGAAGCGACCCAAAAGAGCGTCATAAATGAAAATAAAATATTAAAATTAGACGAATCGAATCGATAGTCGGTAGCAAGAGCTAGTATTCTGGGAGGAGAAAATGCGCAGAAACATTTATGATTATGAAGACTGATTGCGAGTCATGAGTGAATCGTTTGCATTTTTTTGGGAAATATTTACGACTTGAAAGGCTTACTTGGGTTATCATAAAGCTGACATATCTCTTCATTGTCGCTTGGAGAAATGCGAATGTGAAAATTATTTATTCTTTAGGTAGTTTGGTCACAAAATTACAGCGTATAAGTATATTACTAAACTGAGATGGGTAGTAATGTTTAGCAATATCTGTATAGTCTAATGTCTATCTAAAGTATAATGGTGAATGTGTTTATTAAAAATCTACTTTTTTAAGCCAAATAGATTTTCAAAATATACTTATATAATGCCATTATAACATGTGATAAAAATTTAATGTAGTTAATATGTATGCTAACGGGTCGCGTATTCGATCCGACCAGGTCCAACAACAATTTACATTCTTACTTAAACATGTCGGACTTCATCTGAAAATCTGGATATTAAAAGGGTGGTGGAAATATCGACTTTATCCGAGTCACAAACGAAGTTTAAGTTCGCGTTTCTGTGTCAATCTTTGGAATTCCGAATCTATGCTTATCTGTCTTTTTCTAGCATAAAAATTAACTTGCTTTGCTTATTCCAAAAGCGTTAGAAGAGCCGTGCTTAACCTCCAAGTAATCCGCGAATCCACATTCACGCATCCAGTACCAGATGAGATTATTCCAGATGTCATTCAGAACTAAACTGGACGTACCAGATCGCTTGTTTCCATATCAGACAATATCTACATGAGCCGTCATTACTTATAACTCTGTGATAGAAAATCTACCTAATTCAAGACCATACTTGGTCATTTTCGTTATAAGCAGGTGAAATAAGAAAAATAATAAAGAACTTTTATAAAACTTTCCCAATACAGAAACCAGACAACTTCCTCAATATGGAACTATCAATTACTTCATTAGAGGCTGTGTGACAGTTTTCCGCCTTCTAAAAATAACTTTATACGATCGTAATAAACTTATCTTAGCGCAGGTAATAAACTTTATATTGTTAAAATTATATGTACCCTACGCTGAATATTTTTATACTAAATGTGTCTGTGCTTTTGTAGTAACATTTAATAAAACACTTTTTAGGGTTAGAATTAGTTAAATTTATTTTGGATGGAGGGTAACCGTAGTGTCATAATCAAATCTGCTACGCTACCGCTATCTTCAATCCCCCCTGACCACGGCTACTCTAAAGCTCCCGTATGGTTTGGCCGTATTAAAAAACAAATGGTAACGAAGTTAACTAATATATTTCGCGTTTGACAGTGTTTTGTATATATTACTCTTACTATATCTAGTAATTAAAAAAGTTTTTTTAATGAAGTCCTTACTACCAATTTTTAGGGGTTATTTTTAGTAAAATGTATCAAGAAAAACTTTTTGCAAGAACGAGATTACATCATAGCACTTCGGTAATTCTTTTAAGAAACTTCTTTCTTCAAAGCATTACAGAAGCGCATAGAAGATCGAGAGAAAGCCCTAACCAATCCAAATTGAAGCGGAATTAGGTAATAAAACAACATTTAATTGAATAACTATTAATATATTTTCAATAGTATCTCTTATAATTAGACTCTTACGCTCCGCGCTCGAATTATTTGGTTTAAGTCTACGAGAAGAATCAACAGTTAGCTCTTATAAAACTTAATGATAATCAACAGACGAACAAAATCTAAAAGATTACATTTAATATTTCAACTAAATGTAAACTTAGAAGTATGTTAGCGATCCACTACAATACTGATTCTTCCTATTTTAATACGTGCCACGGAATCCTACGCTACTTAGTTGGGAATGTTAACTTTGGTATAAAATATTAATTATAAACAACAACATAATCAAACTCAAAGACACTCGAGACGAACTTATACGTCAAGCATAAATTAAGAAATACTGTTTAATTAGTAGTCTTAGACCAGTTAAAGTATATTTACAAAACCAGCTGGGAGACTGGAACTAAATTAAGCTTAAACAAAATAAACTAAAGATCTTTACGACTTGTTAACGTCTAGACGATTGTGTTGAAGGAAAAACTTTGCACGCTAATTCTAAAACACGAAATTGCACAGTGCGACAGAATATAAAATGTAGAAAAATTATTGATCTATGAAAAATATACATACTGGGGCTTTACTATAAAATAGAAATTCTAACATTTAAATATACGACTTCGCTATGGTTCAAACGAACCGCGCTTATTCTATAGGCTAGGAGAGAGAAGGCTTCCGTAGGTACCATTTTTCGTAATCAAAACTCTACTATAATCAACAATCAAATTAGTGATTAATCATATAATCACAACTTTTATAAAGAAAATCTTCCTTGCTAAAAGACATACAAAAATGGATTTGCGGCTATCCATACTGTTTTTCAAAACACAAAAAATAGTCTACAATATAATATCGTGTATGCCGGAAAGTTGACAAGTAAATAAAATATTGGAAAAATATTCGTTATATACTGAAGTATATAATATAATTTGCTAGTAATAGTATAATATATAAATATTGCACTATTTCGCTATGATTAGGCCGGGTCAGCGTAAAGAACCATTATAAACGCTACAGGTTTTCATTCGCTAATAAGTAATCAAATCTTTAATTCCGTTGAGATTTCTACTATAAAATTCGTTTTCTTTATAAGAATCAGTGAAACCCAAATGTATTAACCATTGTACGATCCGCGGAGAATACTTTTTTAATCAACAAAAGATTATTTTTTACTAGATAGACTTTTTCACGTGCGCTTGAAACATTTAGCTAATTAAAATGCGATTCTTATTAATTAGACACTAAAAGAAGTACACCAAATGTAATAGTTCTTTTCTTCTACATTATTCTTTCATTTATATCTCCGCGGATCAGAAGGATTGCTGTTCTGTTTATGCCGTAGAGTCGTGAGTTGATGGATTTTGAATGATCGTGGTTTCCCGTCTTCGTTCTTTTCCGGCCGCAGCTAACTCTGCTTGAAGATTCATCACTCTTTCTCTTAGTGATTTTATTTCGTTCTGCCAGGTCTGTAAAGTAAGTTTGAAATTTTATTTTCTGAAAAATCTTATTGATATGTTTGCAATTGATAAATCTAGAAGTATATTCAAATAAAACTCTTTTAACTTTTAAAACGTGTGCCCAACGGCTACGGTGTAATCACGGCTGCTGCAAAATACATGAAATATTTTGCAGCAGCCGTGATTACAGGGGGACTGAAAATGAAGGTCGTAAACCGTAAAAAGTCTTTCATTTAAATGTGTTAAAATTTCTCGCGTAAACTACAGATAATCCTTACACTTAGTAACTACGTAACTCCGACAACAAGGAAAACAAGGGAGATTATATTAATTTCAGTGACATCTAGCGGCTATTTTTGTGACTAAGAATAAGTAAAAAATATGACCAATGTTTAAATAGCGCTCGGAGGTCTTGAAACATGGTAATGTGAATGGTGATTAACCAATGGCTATCTATTGTAGAAACAAACACAACAATATATTTGTTAAATTCCTTATTATATCTATTTAAAATATATTTTACTTACAATATTTTGTTTCAACAGGTCTAGCTTGTCGTTCTTAAGGCGGCAGACTTCTTGTCTTAGCTGATCGGCATCTCTTGGTGGTAACATGGCCTCTCGGTTGTTGGCTGCTCCGGCTTCAGCAGAAGACATTGACTCTAGGCCTGTGTCACTATCCACGTAGACTGCGCCTGGAAAAAAATAGTATTTATCCATGATTTGGCATAGTGAAGCATGTGGGAAGAAAGAGATATACTACACACAAAACTACTTGCTACTAGAAATTTAATTTCACATTCAAAGCAACATTCAATATGTTTGGGTCGCGCGTTCCATTTAAAATTAATAACGGAGAATATTTTACAGTTTCCTTGATGGGAGGTAAAATACCATAGCCCCATAAAGTCGAGTCTGAATCATGGCTTTTCTTTTTCTTCTATTACATATAAAAAATTTCCAGACAATGGGAAATGTTTACAAACAATTTGAAACTGGTAATCAAAAACACTGTGGATATCAAACTTTTGAACCGTTATTAGTCATTCATTGGGTCACATCAAGAAAATCCTGACAAACGTGGAAAATACCAAAACACGACCCAGAACAATTCGTCTCATAGTTTTCCATTGTAGCTATAACTAACACAATATTTTCTACACACCTACCGCTACAGATTATGGTGTACATTTAAACGAAACACTTTTAACGGTTTCGAGTTTTAAACCGTTAAATGTTTTATTTAAATATGTACTACTCGCTTAAACTACGGACGTTTCTAAGACGGGTGCAACTAACATACGGACAAATTACAAATGAATTAAAAATTACTGATTGCATTGCTTGTCTGCACAGTTTCTCTATAAAATAGATTTTTATTTTTTACTTTTTTATACAATAATTCATTTGTTGATCTCCATAAGTCTATACCTACGTAGTGCAAGGTCTACCAATTGTAACAACAGGACTAACCTGTTACATTTTTACCACAACTCAACCAGTCCTTGTCATCTAATACAGAAAGAATTGCAATTATCTAATGAAGGACTAGTATTACTATGAAATGTTAAAGATGAAGTATTTTTAGTACAACTATACACACGATCAAACTGTATTTTTTATAAATGGAAACATTGGAAAAAATAATTGTTTATTTTTTAAGAGTGTTAGCATTATATAAATTAAAAATTGACTTTAGATTAAAAAACATAAATAAAAATTCAATGCGCGAGAGGTGCATGTATAAAGTTTAAAGTAACATAAAAAATTGATGATGACGTAGGACACGGCAGACACGGTAATACTTAGAGTAACCGCACTGAATGCTGTGGATGCCGGTCGAAGTTCTGCCCCTGACGTAATTTTTTTAAAAATCTAAAATCGATTTTTAATTTTTGTGTTTTATTAATAAAGTATATTAATGATAACAAAATTTGTTTATTCACTTGGAAGAGCCTATAAGACCTGTTGCAGGTGACAAAACTGTCAATAGGAACTTACCCAGTGGATCTAAGTCAACGGAGTTCAGACTGGAATCGTCACTGTGGTCATGCAGAGGTGGGCGAGGCGCAGCGGCTCGAGACGTCACATCCGGACTGGATTCTCCAGAACCGGAGCCACCAGCGGATCTGACAGACACTGCACTTGCTGAAGATGATGGAATCGATGTCTTTGATCGGCCACTCTGCAAGAAACAGACCATGAATCAAGGCAATGCAATTACAGTTAAAAAATATATTGCAATTTTATAATCATTCCAAGTGTTTTATTTAAAAAATACCAAAGTTATTAATAAAATATTGTAAATATTAACAAGTAATAAAAAGCTTTAAATTTTATTATTGTGGCGATGTCTAGAATTATTAGTATTTGAATTTACTCACGTTTGGTGTAGGTGTGTCATGTGACATTATTTTCTTGTTAAATGCATTATTCTTATGACTATCGTTTGAAAGATTCGTGTCCACACTCGGCGATCTGAAAACATTTTTACATAATATACATATATATCTTAACATATTTATCAACTACTTTTAACCATCTATTAGTAGTGTGACGAACTAAAAGTATCAAAAACATCGTGACAAGTGTTCAAAAGTTTTCTAAGAGATGGCGTTATTACTAATTTTAATATATAAAACTTGCCTCATCTTCGAGTTGTATATCACTTTGCGAACAGTATCGAATATTTTAGTGGCCGGTCCATCTTGTTTAGGCGTGCCTTCCGGCTGCGGTGAAACAGCCCCAACGTCACATCGTGCTCCTGTACCAAGAAACTCAACAGTCTTATCTTTCAACTTCTCAGCTAGCGACTGGAGTAATGACATGCGGGTCCTTTGTTCGAGTTCGGCGAACTTCTTCGCTTTGTAGCACGCGTTTTCAGCGTTGATTAACTTGGTAAGGAGGAAGTCTTTCAGTTCACGCCCCTTTCTGAATATTGACGGTTGCGGGAGAGTCGGTCCGAAGAATGGAACGTCTCCACGTGCTGTGACGACCACTTTGTACCTGGAATTAAGGAAAGTAATGGATAAGTGCAACAATAGAAAAGCTATCCTACTGCGCTTAGATGCAAAAATAACTGAAACTAAATCTTGGAAAAATTTTGGTTTTACTGTTTTTTATTCAACCTAACTTTTAGTGTAAATGTTTTTTTAGTAACCTATATTCGATCAAATGTTAGGGCTTAGTTGAAACAACATAATACAAATACAAAAACGATTTTTTATGGAAAAGTATTAACGACACGGGCAGGACTTGAACCGTCCAAAGCGTTTCGTGCCGTTGCTCTAACCAATTGAGCTACCGTGTCCGACACGTCAAATATTTCAACCTATTGATAAGACAAAATTAAACCTAAAAAGTGTTCTTAAGAGACTTTGTTCCAATATCAGATATAAAACGGCTCAGCATAAAATCAAGAATATTTCACACGGCTGTCGTCTTTACACAAAATAGTAGCTTCAAATTCGCATTTGCTTTGCATATAAATTACCCGGAGAATCGTCGTAACATCGGTCTATTTCCTCGCTCCGAAATGCAAATATTCAAACGGCCAGTCGTTTTAAACTTCACAAACTTTTCTTTTAACAACTAGATAAAATCACGGGATAGGGAAATACATATTCATAGGGGAGTTAAAACTGCTTTGTTACGATTAAACTATAACGTCAAAACTTACGGAAGCGATTAAAATTCATGCGTTACATTAATATTTACATTACATATTCTCGTGATACATAGCTTATACGGTGGTTCGTGTCTTGGACAGATTTTCGACATTCCTACCACCCATTTAGTATCCAGATGTCCATATAAAAGTTCAACACGTTTTTGAAAAATTATAAACTAATGAGGAACACGGTGGACGAAGTGGGCATCGAAACCACACATTGCTACCATTAGACTAACCAGCCCGTCAAATTATTTAGTAAAATTACGGAACACGTTCAGCTCAATTAGTAAGAGTCAAATCTGTGTATTTAATTATTTTAATGTTTATAGGTTATTGAAAAATACAAAATGTTTACAATTAATTGTCTAGTTATGTACGTCTGTCATAGTTTTACGTACGCGTGCAGTTTTAAAGCAATGAAAATGAAAATAGTAACAATTGTATAATTAATTCAAATATGGGTTACCTGGTCTCCCCTTCGACTTCTATGGGCGTGACAACGATAAATGCGTGCAGGAAGTGAGACGCGATCATATCAGGTGTAAACGGTGTTGCTTTTTCCTGAAAAGTAGTTTTTTATGTCAAAAAGAGTCTATATACCTATACTAGACTAGGAAAATATTTATCTATTGTATTATTGTTGTATGTGCATATATGTTCTGTCTATTTAAACACCCAGTACATACCACTGGTACTGGCAGTTTTATTACACAAAAGCCAGGTCCCAAATTCTTCTTATACATACAGAACTTCTCATTATGTGATACTGTTACATATAAATATGTGACTCTCTTCAAACTAGAAATATCCAAAGACCTTTAGGCATACACGCTTTTAAAGCATATTTTTATTAAGATTTTAAGCTAATCTGAACCTTATTGTTAATGTGTAAATACTATTATTGCATACGAATTTAACTAACCTGAAAAACAATAGCGACGATATCGTTGCCGACATGTCGTTTCCTCTGCAACTGTTGGGCGTCTCCTGCAGTATGGGGCAAAAGAGGCGCCACGTGGAACATAATTTCTCGGTCGTAGAACCTCTCGTAGACCGCCTCAGTCCCTGTATGTCCGTTCATTATATCCAATCCTCCTCTATAACCTGAAATACAGAGATTATTAGAATTATTTTCAATTCGACATAACATATTTTGACATTGCTATTTAACTAATAATCTTGTTAAGTACTTTATGTAATTTACGCTAGTATAAATTTAACGATTTAAAACGCGAAGTAAATTAGATAACCACGATGAAACAGATGGCACTAGCGTAGCTGTTTCTTCTATGACATTAGGAACACCCTCAATCTTCAGTAAACCCCCACGACCCCACCGTGACGATGGCTAATGGCAAAAGCAGCCGAAACGACGGATCCTATTTATATTAATTAAAAAATATATATATATATTATTATTAACAAATATTTCACGTTTCAAACTGTTAAAATAAAAGTTTAGTAATCATTCTTTCGTTTAATCTGTATTAAATGTTTACACAATTTAAATTGTGAGGCATAGTTAAATTTGAATAAAGAATAGCAACATAATTAACAATTTATAGTCTACTTGCTAATTACTATGTCTGCCTTGAATATGGTTTATTTTTGCTTATATACTTGTACTCGACCGAAAATATAGAATTAACTCAAACCTTTATGATCCTTCAATTTGATCCGCTGACCCAGCATTTCTAGAAACTCATCGAACACTGGCGACGTCTCGTTGTTTCCAAAGAGGTCTTCTTCAGTGGTCTGACCATACTTCTGGTACAGCACTCCGAACTTGAAGGTGTTCACCAGAACGTGTTCATCGTAGGCTGCTATCATTGAGGATGCGTTCAAGCACATGACAGCTGAGAAATTGTCTACATTCACTTGTTCGTTCAGCATTTTAGCCATTCTTAGAGGTGATGGGAGCGCGCCTGTATCTGTAGAAGAAAATATAAGTTTAATATAATATAAAAATGATAATATGTAATAAGAAAACTACGTCAAGTCTTCTAATACCTTCCATTCGACAGTTCAAATGTAATAAATATGCAACCTAAGTCTTTACTTTAATAAAAAGACTTACATCGTCTAAATGAAACACTTTCAACGGTTTAAAAGGCAACGTAAACAAGTTATTTTGTTTAGAGCAAGGTTTTTCACGATGGCATTATATAAATTACGAATCGATGATTTGTAGGACATCTTATGTCAATTGGTTAGAGCAACGGATGACAGTTCAAGAACCGACCATGTAATCCATCTAAAATCGATCGAATAATCATTGTTGAAGACGGTTTGCATTCTTTACAGCAACCGTGACCACAAGGATACGAGTAAAAAGCGTTATATATTTCGCGTTTGAAACCGTTGAAAGTTTTTCATTTACTTGCGTAATCTACAGCCGACACTTAAAATTGTGTGACGTGTTTCAAATGTGAAATTTCGTGTTTCCTACATGAAACAATATTACAGGCAAGGTTAGACTTCTGTGTCCTGCGCGACCGAAACGTTTTGCTATCTATCTAATTTGACTAATTGCTTTTATCGTGACTAAGGACGCGATACCCACTTGTAATAGGTATGAGTCCGTGCATAGTTTCTGAGCGCAGCCTCAGCAGTATCCTTGTATGGTCCTGACCAGCCATATGTTCATTCTTCAGGGACATCACTACTGGACCCAGGCTTAAATCAAACCCGACCAAGTTGATGTGTTCCTGTAAGTAAAAATATCAAATTAATTTTCCAATTTGTCGATTGATCATTTGGAGAATCGTCGATGGAGTTGCACACCTTCAAGAAGTAGGACCATGATACAAAGAAAAGGACTTTTTGGGAATAGGAAATAGCGCATATGAAAACTTTTATATTTTTTACAAATGATGGCACTATGTAAAATAAAAAAAATATTATAAATAAAAAAGTACGTTTGCGCGAGAGGTTAATGTGTCATTAGATTGAAAAATTGGACGATTACGTAGGACTCGGTAGCTTATTTGGTTAGAGGAACAGCACGGAACGCAGTGGATGCCGGTTCAAGTTCTGCCCGAGTCGTAATTTTCTTCAACACATAATCGGTTATTAATTTAAATAGCGCAGTTTTTAGTATCTGAGCCTTTTAATATACTAGAGGTTTTACATATGTTAAACAGCCCATACTATACGATAGCCAACAATATAACTTTATTATTCTCCTTTGGGGCAAACGATAGACGATTAGGTGATCAGGTAACTGCTGACTAGCTGCTGCAAAGGGGGAAGGGGGAAATGCTACACGCATTTCCCCCCTTCCCCCTTTGCGAAGAATATCCAACGTTTTAGCCTTATAGGTAAAAAACACCTCCAAATTTAAATGGCACAATTACCTTCAGTAAACATGTTAATTGTAAACAATTTTATCAATGCAAATTTCCGGTCAGTTCGTTTCTCATAATCTGGAGTTTGCAGGAAAACCGCATAAATTTATTGTTTTAACCTAACAATTAATTAGTGTGTTCCCTTTTGACCCATGGTATATAAACAACAGAGGTATTGAGGGCAAAGCTAATTCAGTTTATTTAAATTGTCATCTAATATTATAGGTACAAGTATGGAAATTTTAGTATTTAGTATACGTCATGAATAAAAATAAGAAATGAAAAGGAAAATATCAGGATTATATTGAGAAGTAACAACTTCGTAACAAATGAATCACAGCTAAGGTTATGGTCGCAAATAAACACTGTAAGCACAACGTATCGGGTTACGCCAAGCCAACGAGCTACAAAATAGTTCAAAAAATCCACTGAACGGATCAAACGAACCAGACCGGTTCATTTGATTGGTTCGTTACGTTGCGATCCCTTGCATATGGCCAACTCAAAATCTACGTTTATACAGCTATAATTTGAAACAAGGAGGTGACGTGAAGGATTAGCTGGCCAGGTTTAAGGTGACGTCAGGTCTTGAAGAAGACAACAATACAGTCATATAACAGTAAGGAAATAACGCCGTAAGCAAGCTGTTGTATTACTAGGAAACCACAGCCTAAGATCTCCGATGATGTCATTTACGTTCATATTTATTAACTTCTACGTGTCATCCAATAAAAGATGACCTATCATACTCTCAGAACAAGTTTTATATTGATTGCATCATAATAGTAATTGGGTTGTAATTGTTGGGGCAAAATTTTATTTTAGCCACCTAAAAGCTTAGCTGTCGAATGCCCCGTGACGCAATTGTTTATAGTGTGGTCACTGGAGATCCCATGTTTAAATAAAGGAGATAAAAAACTAAAGCCTGTATTCTGTCAGCCCACAGATTTAAAAAGCCGTTAAGTTTAATCGCGTTTCGGTTTCAGTCTGCGGATTTCTCCATATCCAAAGCCAAAATAGGTCGACATCACATCTTGTTTTTACCTAACAGCAATCGTAAAAAAGTAAACACTACGTAAAACGAAAGAATAGATTAATTTTATACACCCTTGAAAAACCTTTTTAATGACCAAACGCCAGTAATTATTCTAGTCATTGTTATGTTTATAAAGTAACAATTTTAAAACCGTTAAATCATAACAAATCGTCGCAGAATACAGCAAACAAACGTATAAAATATTTTATAAAATGTGGCGTCGTATTATCAAAAAACGAATTCACCTTGTAACTTCCTCTGTTTTAACATAATTTTGACATAGTCTTACTGGAAGGACATTTAGTAATATTTTTAATGACTGCCTGTTTACAAATGAATGCTTCATTAAATAAATATTAGACTTCGACTGCAAAGACGACAACACATAATCTTTGCAGTGCTCAATGTGTAATATTTCATGAAAGTAACGACACTTTTAAAGCGGACAAGGTTTATGGCAAACAATTGTTTCAATTCTTAATGCGAGGGTCACGCTGATAAGAGTAAGACAATGAGATAATTGTCATGGGAGGTTTAATTGAGAAATTCGTGATGTCAACCTTGGAAGTGAGTTTCCCATGATTTAAAAAGTGAGATTATCTTGATTTCAAATAATAAAGTTATGATTGATTAATACTATAATTTATCATATCATATGTTTTTTAATAAAAAGGTAATTATTACTATCTTTTCTATTCTGAAAAAAGTCTAGATGTTAAATAGGTGGAATGAAATATCGGAATCCGGACCAAGAACTAGTGTTTATGGATTTCCAGCATGCCAAAGGGCTTACCCCATCTTCTATTGTGTGATAATGTCTAAGTGATAGCTATGCTTGCCTGTCATATTCTGCCATCAGAACATTACGGTGTAAATAGATGCATACACTCGCAGATAGCCATGCAAACAATCAGACAGATGAACATAAACAGGCGACAATAGATACTCCATAGTACCAAGAAAAGACGTGATCGATTTGACAAATCGACTCTGTCTCAGTGCCCGATGTTTCCGTTTGTAATTGCGTCTTCTGCCAGGATGTCATTAGTACTTTTCCAATTAGAGGCACAATCGAATTCATTATTAATACACTCCAACAAATAACGAGGCTTTTAAGGGTTCCGCGATCGTAGGTTGGGGTTAAACGCTGATAAAGATATATATCAAATGTTATTGTTGTTTAAGAACAACTAGAGTACGTACACAAGCTCTTATAAAACGTGGAGCTTATGTTTTATTTGCTAACTCCACTGTACTAGATCTCAAGAAGCCGTGACGTCATTAGGTCCCGGTATTATGATGTTTCCGGACATTTTAAAATCAGAATCTCTTTAAAGATTTACAAATATATATTTTTAATATTGGAGGTAAAAAAGGTATCGATCTAGAGATAAATGAGAATTTTAAATTCTACACTTTCTGAAAAGGTTTAAGGTACAGAAGCTGATACCCATAAACCGCTAGACGGGTTCTTTACTAGTTGTAAATAAACTTAACAAAAATTATGTATGTAAATAAGTTAAATAAATAAAAAAATAGTCAACATCCCTATTATATACTGTCTGTAGTTTACGCGAGTAGTATACATTGAAATAAAACACTTTATCGGTTTAAAACGCGATATATAATAGTTAAACTTATTTGTTAGTCTCCCCGTGACCACGGTTGCTGCAAAGCATCCGAAACGTCGGGCCGTAGTTAATAATAATTTTTAAATAAGTTTAACTAATATATATCGCGTTTTAAACCGTTAAAGTGTTTTATTTCAATGCCTATTATGTCATCGTTAAAACCCACCAAAGGACCGATCGAGCCAACTGATTTACGCAACGTGGATGATTCACGACAGCCATTACGAAACATTATCATTAACGGTTTCATACAAATTTGAATCTTTCCATTCCGCCTCACTCCGCGATTCCCTCGCTCCTTTTTCATGGCTGAAGACGTAAATTGAAAGCTGAGGACGGTAATTGCGGGGACGTGAGGTTAATGTTCCCTTTCACAGCTTGATGGATCTCGTTGAAGATGGCTGTTCAGGATTTCTTTCGGAAGCAAACATTCCATCAGTGACAGTGTATTTTTTGCTTTCAATAATCTTTATTAAACTAGCTGTGTCAGCGATTTCGTCCGCGTTAGTTTGGGCATCAAAATCATTTTTACATTTGTACATCTAGCTGTCGAACAGTCATTTGATTATGGCCCTAATAATACATATGAATGCTACAAACTTAGAGAGAAGAAAATTCCAATATCCTAAAGGAACGTCGAATGTTTCTAGAAGTTGGTATTGGAAACACGTATTTATTTCCGCATACAAATATTCGGAGTGACATAAAACAATTCACTGGTCCCGCCAGATTTGCAATCGTTCCTTCCGCCATTTTCTTCGAATCGTCCTCGAACCAATTTCTCGTTATGAAAGGAGGCATTTGCTTATTGCTCCTACTTTCCATTTGTCATTTGGAGCATCTGCCTTCGTCACGGGTTAAAATTACTTCTTCGTCTACTGATTTTTAACAAAACATTAAAATTATAATAAAAACTGATATATAAGTAAAAAAGTACTATATAATTACTATCTAATTTACGCGAGATTTTCACATTGAAATAAACTCACTTCAACGGTTTAAAACGTGAAATATATTCAACTTATTTGAATGTTTAGGATGCTTTCCAGCAGCCTTGTTCACGGGAAGACTACAGATTTAAGACCAATTGTGACAGTTTAAAACGCGTCATAACCAAATTAAAAATGATTTATTTGATATTAACTTTTCATGTAAGCGACAGACAATTCAAACTTTAATATTCTATTATTTCGTTACAGTTTCTTTCGAGAAAAAAAAGTAGAATAGCTTTCAAACCTAAAACCAAGTGATTGTGTTTTGTAACAGATTCATAAAATATGTAATATAAACGCCTTAATTAAAATGTATTTAGACAATAAAATGTGCATTATCAGATCTCAAACATTCTATCGAAATGTTACGAGATTAATATTCACACGTCCTTGTCGAGCTCACCACGGGAAATTGTAATCGAAAATACAGAATAACTTTAGCAATTTCGTAAGGTGCTATGTGTAATTTAAGTTAGAGCATGTTTCTGTCATAGAAGTTTACAATTGTGTTTCTTATATATGTGATGTTATTATTTCTGTTTTTACGTTTTTGGTTTGGGAACGACACTTATGCGTCCTAGGGTCAAACCTTTTAACACACTAAAGGCGTTAATTGAATTGAAAGAATATGGGCTGGTTGATTCAATGGAAGCGATGTGGGGCTAATAATCTGGGTCGTGGATTCGATCCCCATCTGGTCAAACATGTTTCTAATCCTTACGAATATTATAAATACGAAAGTAACTCTGTCTGTCTGTTACTCTTTCACGCCAAAACTACTGCTCGGATTTGAATGAAATTTGGTACACAGATGGTCTAGACCCTTATTATTGCTTTTTACTTATACTTTTTATTATGCGCAATTACATAAATTAATAAACAGCCTAAATAATTAAAAATTCTACCCCAAGTCACTATTCCACGCGAACGAAATCGCGGGCACAGCTAGTCAATTTATATATTCTCTGTACTATGTTGGGCTTTGCCCGTAAATCTAGATATTATATAAGTGGTAGGAATATCAAAATTTCGCCTAGGTCCACAAACCACTGTCTACAGATGATAAGGCCGTGAAATTTAATCGCGTTTCGGATTTGGTATATATTTCCGAATATTCAAAGCCAAACTAAGTTCACAGTGCATCTTGTATATATGTTATAATATGGCTGAGATATTTAGCCCCGTTTCAGAAAAATTATAAATGTAATAGAAACTTTTGGACATAGTGGATATCGAACCCACGACCCGTTGATGATTATGTATGACATCGCTACCATTAGCCCGTCAAATTATATACGAGTAATCTTCATGAACACCGTTAGCTAAGACTAATTTCGGAATTACCCTAATTACTTCAACGTACGAGCTATAATACTATATGAGTGGTTTAATCTTGCTAAAGTACCCCTGCAGAACTCCGAATGACGTGTTCAATAAATTAAGGTAAACACAAATCCGAGCCGTAAACTTTAATAGCCCAATTACGTGAAATCTCGTAACTTATACGCGTCAACCTTCCGCTATCAGCTCATCGCCGAATCCCATTTATCAAGTCTAACCCCTGCAACGCCACAATAACCCATTGAGCCGGTTTTGGTAATGCGATATTTTAAGAGGTCATAGGCAGATAGAGAGAGATAGACATAAGGCAGAACGAAAAAAAGGGTTCCACTATTTTGTCAAAAATGGCTCTAGAAACTTTTAATGTAAGGTTAAAAAGCTGTTTATGTGTGGTTTTTTTTTTTAATTTTTGTTGATAGTGTTTTACCAGCTAAAGACGACCGAGTCTCCCCTACCTCGGTCTTGTTCTTGAATAAATGCTGTATTACTAATCGTGTTTTTGACAAATAAAATCAAGCCAGTTAATAAATTTGAAGCAGATTTTCGGTCTAGGACGCTGCAGTGTGAGTTGTGGCGAATACTAGTTAGCACAGTTTCCCAAGAAGTCGTGCCTAATCCTGCGGTAATTCGTGCCGTGATTACGCGCGATAAGCCGAGCACACACGGTCGTATCAAATTGCTGCATAATTCCGTAATCGGCTCGATCTACAAGCCGCTTGGCTCACTGGGCGTGAAGCCAGACGGTTCCGCGTAGCTTGGCAGGCGACTTTTCCCACTGTCGTTTCAAATTTTTCATAACCCCCGTACCTACGTTTAACTAACGCACGAGTGCATGGCATTTTAATTGCTTAAGATGTGCTGAACTTGAAAAATTAATACACAGACGTCGAACACTTTTAACGGTTTGAAACGGAAAATATCTTACTGTATAATCGAAACAGCAATTAGACTTATTTAGAAACAGTAAATTTTGATTATACTCGTAATAAGTGTTTCGTTAACACAGAAAATAAAATAAATAAACATATTGTACGTTGTGTCGGCTTAACGAATTAAAAACTATGACTTTTTGTCCGTCTGTACCTTAAGAAGCGTGATAGTTAATCAGTTAAAATTTTGGTTGATATTAATTTTTTTATATTTAAAATAACAATAGCTAAATAATTAATAAAGCATTTTTCCTTACATTGAAATTTATGATAAATACAATATTTTCTTCAATTATATACTAATTAAAATCATTTTAGAGACTTCGTCGTCTTCAAATACTTGAAATTAAAAAATATTGACTAAATTATTTACCTAACCGTTAGAAAACCAGTGACAGTTAAAATAAGTAAAAACGTAAGATATCTTTATAAATTCTTTAACTAATCTAGAAATTGAAAATTCTAAGTTAAACAATGAAAATGAAATAAGTGAAACGTAAGATCTATCGCAACGTGTAACTGTATTAATGGCATTGAATTTGGACATGTGAAAAACAATAACACGACTTCATAGAAACGATTATAAGCCGCAGACACAAAATGAGAAAAAGTAAGCCTACGGGGCGTGGGTATGGGAATGTTCACACGTGCTAGTAATAGTTGGTAATGGCTCGTCAAATGTAGATCTTAACTCATGTTTTGTGATTAACCGATCTGATATTTTATTAGACGTTTTATTTCTTAAAAAGTCTCTGAAACCGAAACGCGATTAAACTTTACAGCTTTTATGAAAAACTACAATGAAATAATACTGACTGAGATAACTGTAGTCGGTGGTTCGTGGTACGGACGGTAGTTCGATATTCCTATTCTATGTCCAGCTTCTCAGAAAAAACTAATGAGAAAAATGTTGGACCGAACCCACGACCTATTGAATATTTACCCTACATTGCTGCTATTAATCTAAAGAGTGCGTCTAAGTCGTGATTCGAATCAAATATAGGTCATCAAACTTTTTAAGACTGAAATAGAAAAATCTCTTGACACGCGGTACTCGAAATCTCCACAGTAATTTTGTCTACTACTGCGTAGCAACATAAGCTCAAATCCTCGGAGAATTCACTTCTACCCAGTACACGCTACATCTCATGAATTGTTATTGAGAATCGAAGCGTATTGTTCCAGCTTTCATTAATATAGATGCGTCTAGAGGTCGGAACAGCTTCACATTGAAATACGGATCGCTTTGTAAAGATGAGATCGGTTCACACGCGGTTAATACGATTGATGCTTCAATTGTTTTTGCTATTTCTATAGCTGGCTGCTAATCTTTTCTCTTTGCCAACGGAACAAAGCAAACTATTCAATCAAATTAGATTTTTCCTACTAGTGTCCTCAGAACTGATTAAAAAAGGAGTTTTTTCCACTGAAGTCATAGAAGAAAGGCTAGTAGAAATAATTCTAGAGATTCTAGCACAAAATCGCAGGCGTCAGACTGGCATACGTCAGCTGGTATTACTTAAAGTAAATACTTAACGAATAGATATTATTAAGGTTCCAATCCGATATGACTAAGATCATAGGACTCGTTTTTCTCGTTATTAATTGCGGAAAAGATTACCACCATCCTATAGGAAGGTCAAGGCGCGCAGGACATCGACATTGAGCAAAAACACTCGACTTTCCACGTTTTATGTCAAGGGGAACGTGATCAAGTGGTGTACTGTTTTCGAAAACTCATACAAAATAATTAACAAAATATTCAATATCGACGCTCGCAGACAGCGCGGCGTACAAAAATGTCAAGAGCTGAATTTCAATAGGGTCGCTCAAGGCTTGTAATTAGGGCCTGTTCTTTTCTCGAAGTATATTAACCGCGTTAATTGGGTTTAATTATATTATTAACTTAATAATTCTTGGGTGCAGCCGAGCATTTACAAATTATTTAATTAAACTGATGGACCTTACCTTGCCGAGAAAGAACCGCCTGTAGTACTTGGCGGTGTCGTCAGTGTCTATGTTGTGCCGCCTCGAAAGCTGACGGGGAGTGCCGGGTTGAGGACGAGGCTCGTTGTCTTCGTCTGAAGGATTGTCATCTACGCCATCAGCCCAATAACCTCCTCCAGGGGGCAGGACTACGGTTGGGGGAGTACCTGTAATAGTTGAACACTTGGATATAAAGTGTGTAATATTATGCATAAGAAAAAAATTGTTATTACTATGCGTTTAACTAAAAAATCGAGTTCAAAGGTCAACGACTGGAAGGTTATTTAAATATAATTAAGTAAGCGAACATAAAAACATAACTAATGACGTCATACACTCTTTTATAAAATGTAGCTCGGTTAATTAAATTAAACAGTGTAAGTGTATTTGAAACGTTTTTAACCTAATTTGACTTTTGCGGGCGCAACATTCAAAAACTATTAATTGAACATAATTAAAATTTTAAATTAAACTTTAGCCAAACCGCGTGCCATTTAAAATTCAACATAACCGCAAAACGAATGCACGAGTATTTTAAAATTCGGTCAATAAATAATAATTTAAATGATTATACGCAACAACTTTATATTACAACAAGTAAAGAAAAACTAGCGTTGAAAACACGCCGTTCTACGGAAGTCACGTCTATTTTTTGTGAAAAAAATATTTTCGTGAGCAACCTCTACTTTACTTATTTTAAAGATTGCATCGTCGTGATATTACCATTAGTTACGTTTTTTTATGTACAAAGTTAAATAAAGGTATAAAATAAGCTGTGAGAAAAATGCAACCAAATCCTACGTAAAAAGTGTAGGATCTCTCTAAAACTAACACATACTTACTGTCACTTTATACTGTAGTGTTAGATGAAAATCAATTTTATATACTCAGTAATTTGTACTTCGTAAGGTTTATATTTATTAATAACTTTACGAATTGCACCGTGCCTAAGGATTAACGAAATTCCGTCACTGTTACGAAACACCGTCCTTCCAGTGAACCTGAAGTGTTGTTCGCGTTTCTTTAGTCTGTAAGAATCAGAATGTCTACAGACAAAACAGATGACAGCGCCAATATTCCGATTAAACATATATACTGACAGCTGTGTCAGCGACTTCGTCCGCGTACAATAGTTATTTTTTAAATTTGTTTTTGCAAACCTTCTCTACATTTTTATAAATTATCGCTGTTTGTGGGGAACAGCGATAATCGTCACGCGTGTTAGCAAACAAACAAACAAACTCTTCAGCCTTATATATTAGTATAGAGTATAGATATAGATTAAACAACGAGCTGCTTTGATTGAACAATCTGTTCTGAATTCTCCTCATTGTTAAACGATCAACAATTGTAGTTTCTTTAACTCTAACGTATAAAAAGAATCTAATCTTGTGAGATTAGATTCTTAATGTATAATGTTCTAGTCTAGACTGAGCATTGTGAACGTTTTGTAGAGCTTATGGTTCTACGTCTCAGGACTCCATTGTTCACCTCTTTGAATAACTTATGTAGAGGAGGCTGTCAGTTGCCAAAAAAGTAGTTTTCCGGGACTAAAACGGCATGGAAGTAAAGCAAGAAAAAAGCAAATTTTGAGCTTTCAATTAACTTCGGTAGCCTCATTGGTTACAAAAAACTATTACATAAAAATAAATAGTAATTTCTTGTGAAAAATGTAAAATTTATTCATTTTTGTTAACACAGGAAATAAATCCTCTTAAAACGATAAAGGACGTCGGGTCAGTTAGAATGAGTCATTTAAAATCTACCTAATACGAATATTGGACATGAGAGCGTGTGTGGAATAAGAGAGTAAAATGTCGTGTTACTGTATTGTAAGACCAGCTTGATTGAATGGGGATGTTAATTCTCAAATCGTCTTGTATAATAATCCGAAAATTCAAAGCCAAAATAGGTTGAGATATTTCACCGTTAAATTAGATATATTTAAAACAGTTAAAATAGATATATTTAAAACAGTTACTTGTATGCATGCATAAGTTAGGATCGAAACATCTTGGATTTCGAAGCCCCCCAAAGCTCACGATGAATCATAAACCTGTGCGTTACACATCACTAACCAAGCGTTGAAAGGGTGACTGAGACAGGTTGAAAGTCTAAATAATATTGTGCAATTATATCAGAACATGCATACCGTAGTCAACAAAAGTTCGAAGGAAATAGAACAATATAATATATAATAAGAAAAAATATAGCTTACATATTATGTAAGATATATTTTTTTCTTATTTCAAAAATCCTCATATCAGTAAGCTATTTCCTTAAGGATCCCATTTTACCTATAAAGGGCATGGGGCACAAAATTTTTACTGTTTTACTGATCGATTTTAACATTTGCACCAGACTTAACCATTATGGTTTCTCCAGGTTTTGAACGCAGGACCACTTCAGTTTACCACAGTGCGATTAAACTACGGACACGGTAAAATAGTACACTATTCGTATTATTCTTTTGTAATTGGTCTAACCGCGTCTATAGCTAGGTGCTAAATGATTATACGTGCATTCCGTTAAGCGAAAGACGCCCTGGGTTCGAATTATGAGGAAACAATATATTGTTTCGTTCGGGCAGGATACAGAAGGCTTATCGATTTTAATTAATTAAATAAATTATATTCTACTATCGGTAGCTTCCCAAGTAGTACACATTTAAATAAAACACTTTAACGGTTTAAAACGCGATATATTTTAGTGAAACTTGTTTGAGAAATAATTTTAACTACGGACCGACGTTTCGAATGCTTTGCAGCAGCCGTGGTCTCCCCGTGACGTCGGTTTACCAAGTTTAACTAAAATCTATCCCGATTTAAACCGTTAAAGTGTTTTATTTAAATTACATTCTTCTATGAACTATAGGCGAATCTCGAACATCCCAATAAATTGTAAGAAGTACGAAAAAGATTTGCGAGGCTTTAAGGATTTAAGAGCCTAAGGACTAAGAATTGAAAAATAAGAAATCAATAGGCACAGTAAGTGATTTAGTAACGCAATAACAGCGGCCTAATAAACCAGTCTCGACCCAAGTCAGACCTCAAGGGTCTTACCGCGTAAATTTCATAGGTTATAAACAACGCCGATTTGGGTCAGAAGAAATCAATAAATAGATGTTATTGGTACATATTTAAGCTGTTTATTGGTTAAAGTACAGGAAGCAATTGGATTTTGCGAACGTGAATTCGAACCGCAAGCGAGCTTTTACTAAGCAATAAGAGTTTTTAGTTTGAATCAGTAATAAAACAGACTTTTTTAATTAAGCGAGTCATAAAATAAAACACTTTTAACTGTTTAAAACGTGAAATATATACGGTAATTAGTTAAGATCCCTTGTTTTTCAATATCGGACTCTGTATATTACAAAAATCGCCTTTTAAACCGTTGAAATGGATTCATTTAATGTGTACCAGTCGCGTTAACTACAATCTATAAATTGTCTTCTAAATAGCAATAAGCTACTTTAATAAAGTCCATATAAAAATAGTAATTATGAAAACATGTTATTTTAATAGAACATTTATGACGGTTTAAAACACGAAGTATATTAGTCACATTATTTTTAATTCGTACGTCTCCACGTTTTGCATAAGCCGTGATCACGGTCACTGAAGATGGAGATATCCCTAATGTTAAACTTGCTACACTAACGCCATCTGTTTAGTCTTGATATTGTTATATGGCCTATCGTTGTTATATTTTTTGTTAATTAACTTATGTTATAGAACAAACGAGATTGTCGGTTGTCTGTTACATAGATCTAGAACATTAAAAGCCATGATTTCCCAAGACGTCCCTCTCGCCACCTAATTTAATTAATGTTTTAATCAACTAACTAGCGACAGCGGTTTTTCTTCGAATAATTTCGAGTTGCTTACATAAAGAGTTTACTTCATTTAAATAGGAACTGCTTGGAATAAATTAGATCGTCTGAATGGATTAAGATAAAGCCGCTTTTGTCATTTTTATATTCAGTTGTAGAGCAAGATTGTTTAATAAAATCTTTTCCCCCCGTTGGGGCATGGGGCGAACACGTGTTCGTGTTCGTTAACTGATCGGTTTTATTTAAAAGTAAGACCGAAGCAATTTTTTTTCCGGGATTTAAACCTAGGACGTCCAGCGCTTTACGCAATGCTAGGTAACTCGTTTAACCAATAAGCTACAAACATGGTCAAGCAAGTTTGTTAGATTAATAAATATTCCATACTAGCTGTGCCCGCGACTTCGTTCGCGTGGAATAGTGACTTGGGGTAGAATTTTTTATTATTTAGGCTGTTTATTAATTTATGTAATTGCGCATAGTAAAAAGCAATAAAAAGTCTAATAATAAGGGTCTAGACCATCTGTGAACCGAATTTCATTCAAATCCGAGCAGTAGTTTTGGCGTGAAAGAGTAACAGACAGACAGACAGAGTTACTTTCGCATTTATAAGTAAGGAATAATCCTTATAAAAATTGTTATAATATAATAACACTATAACAGCCACTTAAAGGCTTACATTAACAAATAACTAAGTTTCACCTTTTAATTATAACAAGGCCCGAAGTTTCGGATTTGTTTAAATATTAATTGACAAGTCTCTGATGACGAAAAAAACAGCTTTCTTTATTCCTTAAGTGATTAACCATATTGCGTTAAGAACGAAGTTTTCCAGGTTCGATCCCGGAAAAAAAGGTGAGACGTTGTTCGGTCGAGTAGGGCTCAGAAAATCAACTTGGTCTTAATAAAACAAATATAGACGTGGTACGTAAGTAATTGTAAACTTAAATCGAAGCTGTACTTTTTGGACACTATGACATTTCTGAGTCTTGTATATAAACACAAAAGTATACCTAATGTATATACAATTATACACTAATTACAGACAATGCACACATTTTGTATTGTATAATTTCTAAGCAAAATTGTTCCAGTTTAAACCGACTCCAGCAATGGGCGACGCGAGGCAGAAAATTAATTAACCCTGCTCTTTAATTAAGACACGATTAATTCTTCAGACAAATTGTATTACAACAAATAAGATTGAAAAGTTCTCCTTTGTCGTTGTCGGTGCCAAGAATCGATACCGCTTTTTTAAAGCATCTAGCTGAGGGAAAAAAGGCGTAGAATATGTACTTTCAATATCTTCTGCCGTCTGCATAGTTTTACTTCGATTTTTAAGAAAAACACTCGTACTAATTGGGTAGGTATTGTAGTTAACGAGCTAGTTCATGTTTTAAAAATTTAACAGTTTGAAACGCGAAATGTATTAGTTAACTTTTCAGCAGCCGTAGTGACGGGAAGACTAAGACTTAGTCGGGCCGCAATTAAATGAAAATAATATATTTCGCGTTTTAAACCGTTAAAAATGTTATGAGTATCATTTAAGAAATCTTTTTCGATTTTGACATTTAATTTTATATACCTACACGATTTTAAGTTGCAGTGGGTAAATTCGAATACCACTATTTTTAGGTTTCTATAAAACACTTACCAGGTTTGGTTAATATTTCCTCTAAGAGTCGTCGACTCGCCTGACAGGCGGCTGCAACGCGCCGTTGGGCTGCAACAGCCCCCGGCGAAGACGGCGGACCGTGGGTTGCCGGGACACCATCGTCGTACCTGTCCCCGGTTGGGCCACTGGCCACCACTGACACTGGACGTCGAGACGGCTGCAACAAGAGATTTCATTTTTAGAAAAATGTATGATTTTCACAAGAGGAAGATAAAATATTAAACAAAATAAAAAATAATTTCAATCCACACATTACTATGCTATGACAGCCACACTTCCTGTCGCAAGATCGAATCCCGGCTGAGTCTACAGTCTTTCCCAACATTTTTTAATCATTCTTTAAAGTTCTCCGATTTTTAAACTGAAGTTCTAAACGACAAGTCATAGATGAAAAATGGACTAAAAACTATGGCTTAATCAGTATTTATTTTTGCTGTACATCCGTAGATATTTATAATTATTGTTCTACAATGTAAAAGTTCCTTTATAGTTACTTAAAAGATTAATGTAGAGCAGACAGTTTTCCTCCATAAGCGTTTTTCAAACCAAATTATATCGTGCAAACAAAACGATATGCAATACTTTCGGCAATTCCAAATTTAAAACGCATAACATTTACGTTAGTATAAATAGAGGCTTGTTAGCTTAACCGAGATACCCATCAACTTAGTAATCAAATAGTTTGGACTAGATTAAAATCAAAATGCGATAAATTTTCGATGAACCCCGTCGAAATCAATTCCCAATAGACACAGATAATCCACACCACAATCACGTTGAATACATTAACCGGGGTGGTCGAGATCAAAGCCACTAATTGGTTGGTTTGTCGATCCTAAAATCGGACGATATTCCAAACATAGAGAATTACAGAGATATTGTGCGCAGTGTGACTTTCAACGTTTGTTAGCCTAATGAAGAAATATTTCTCTAGAGCGCCGTTGTCTTATTTTAGCGTTGCACGTTCGGAAACTTACAGACTGAACGGTTTCAGTCTTGTCACGGCTTTTTTGCTTCTGGGTTGATATTCTACCACCCGATCAATATGCAGGTTTTCCAGGTGGTGGTTCTAGTGGAAATCGACCCCAATTGTTGTTATAAGGGACAATATAGCCCATCAAAGATGTTGTAGATTTATAAGGCATAAACAAGATAATTCCATGTAAGAAAGCATAGCATCTACAAAAATTAAGTTAACATAAATATGGGTACATGCCATTGGTTTTGCGACTTTGACAGTCAAGAAATTAATTTCCGTTATTTTGTGTGGTGCATGGGCTTAATACAAACCGCTTAATGTCCACATATATATTTCAGTATGATCTAACTTCGAACTTGATGAATTTACGTCAACAGCAAAGCTACTATTAGTTATTAGATTTACGAAATTACATTTAGAATTTTCCCATTGCAAACAGGAAACGGTAAATCCCTCAAGAACTCGAGCGAATCGACAGTTCTTTCAACTAAGCCGTGGGATTGTCATAACTGTTCGAAAATTTTACGCTCGATCACGTCACAAGTCGAATTTGTATAAAGTAATATTGGGAAGCAGGTTACCATAATAAACCGTGAAATCGATACATTCGATGGAGTAATAAATCTGTGGCGTAAACACCATCAAAAGTTAATATCGCAGCCGACGGAAGCATTAGTTGAACTGCTGACAGAAACTCGAAACAACTAGCGTGGAAAATGGCTGAACATTTTCACTTTGATGCTATTAATCTGACGTCACTAACTTTGTTTACTTGACTGATTGAATTTGTGCTATTATTGGTAATTAGAAACTATAGTTGAATTAATAAAAGTAAACACTGTTTGTAGTCTACGCGAGTAGTACACATTTAAATAAAACACTTTAACGGTTTAAAAAGGGATATATTTTAGTCTCCCCGTGACCACGGTTGCTGCAAAGCATCCAAAACGTCGGGCCGTAGTTAAAAATAATTTTCAAATCAGTTAAACTAAAATATATCACGTTTTAAACCGTTAAGTGTTTTATTTAAACGAATAAAAGTAATTAAATTGAGAAATTTAAAACACTTTAATGCAGAAACATATTGGCAACGAAGTAGAAGATAGACACGTAAAAATAATATATTCAAATAAAAATGTCTGTGCAAAGGTGTGGTAATTATAATTAAAAGGGAATTTTTATAATATCCGAAGACAGACAACTTCACTTGATGGAAGGTGAAATAATCCAGCTATATCCCTTCAAAACAAGATAGGCTTTTCTATTTTGGCTTTTTCGAACACCGAAACGCAAATAAACTTCTTTGATTTTTTTCTTCTGGGGACGGTTGTTCATGACCCGGATGGAATTATCGATGCTTCTACTACCTATTTGATATCTAGATTTCCAGACTAGGACTGATTCAGGAAAATCATAAATTGCCTAGAAACAGGTTGATCCCTGAAAAATGAATGAATGTATCATAGTCGCGAACGTTTTTTTTACTGCTATTTTTTTTAATTAATCAAATTAAGTTTAGAATAATTTAATTTTTATTTTATTATAGAATAAGAAACTTAATAAGCAATGTCTGCACGTCTATAGTGAACGTTAATATGAGCTATGTATTGTCACCGTTTACTAATATTTCCTGTATCTTCACTCGGAGCGGTAAATGTCAAAAATTCAAAAGTGTCTTTGATGCGCGGAAGTTTTAAAACGTTGGTTATTTTGCTATGCCTAAAACATGCGACGAATTAGACCAAATTATGAAACCGCACTATTTTTACATTTGGTTTGGATTCGTTTCCACTTATGCCACAAAAATGTACGCTATTTGCGTAAAGATTTTAAGGTATAAAAGCCCAGTAGGCCTTTTCATAAAATCGTATATTGAAACGGAATGTAAATACTAATGTTTCATTTAAATAAAACACTTTAGCGGTTTAAAACGCGATATATTAGTTACACTTATTTGAAAATGATTTTAACTTCGGCTCGTGACCACGGCTGCTGCAAAGCATCCGAAACGTCGGGCCGAAGTTAAAAATAATTTTCAAAGAAGTTTAACTAATATATCGCGTTTTAAACCGTTAAAGTGTTTGATTTAAATGTGTACCACTCGCGTAAACTATAGACAGTATTTAACTAATGTTCTATGTCAAATATTAAAAATGTAATTTTTCCCTTATCTACCTAAGCGTCGCCCATTATGAAACACAATAACTACGTAATAAGATTAGTAATTACATAGATAATAACGCACCAAGTGTAATTTGTAAGGATTTTGCGTATCAAATATCCATAACATAAGGCTTCGTTTCCGGTTTTTACAAGACTAATCGTCGGTTTGTGTTCATAGACTAACAATGAATTACAAAATTTAGTTTCACAATGCCTAGAATAAATAACTACCTTTAATTAGTTACTATTCGTAATTGGTTTCGGCTATTTTGATTAAAAAATACAATTTTAATCATTAGTCTTTAAATGATCTCACACTGCTTTTATATTTTAGCCTACTAGTATTTTAAAGTAAAGGGTTTAGATGAAAGATGATACCACAAACCTAAGAACCTAACAAAATGCGCTGAAAATTTTTTTATTTATTCTGGAATCAAACTTACGTCCTGCTAGTCAACAGTCTACTAGTCATATATTGCTACCATTAGGATCAATCGATTTTGGATTAGACGACACGGGCAGTACCTACTTGAACCGGCATTTCAATGCGATAATGCCATCATGTGTAAAATATTACTATTATTGCACATGCGAAAAATATAACATTTTAAAAATATTCCTATGTTTCCATTATAAGATTAATAAATAATAATATGACTTATAGAGATAAGCTCTAAAATGAAAGTTTTCTCTTCAAAGAAATCCGCGTCTCGGATTACCGTTTTTAAAATATTTCGTTACATTCTCGACCGAGAAATAAATACGACTCTGTCCAAATGTTTGAACGAACTGTGAAATCACGACAAAAATAGCACTAAATCCGTCTTTTTACGGCGAGCACACCGCTCCACTTTCACGCGGTGCATTTTTGTTGACATAAATATAGATTTCGGCTACATTTTTCTATTCGGAGAACATATTAAATGGTATGGGAAAACTTAACTGTGTTACTAAGATCTGAGTAACATTTGAACAACACAATATTTCAGCGCGGTAAATCAAGCTTTATACAAATCCCACTAGTTGATACCTATTAGTAAGCGGTAGCTTATTTATTAAAAACATCAAAATATGAGCAAAATGTTATAAAATAAACAATTAAGACATTTTTGGGTATTTTGAAGTAAATTTTGACCGCCGAAACTTTTATATATTTTCCGTTGAACAACATTCTTTATTTAAAAGTAAAATAGAGCTTCTACGGATTTGCGGTCTACCCTCCTGTTACAATTTAAACCGAAGTTGTAAATAATATTATTGTTCGTAAGAAAACCGTTCTATTAGATCAAACAGATAATTTTATTGAGGTGAAAGGTTTCGTTGGCTTCTTATGTTGAACAAAGGTTTCATGCTTCGCTAAGCACAATCGGTAGCAATTCCTTTCACGGAATCTATTGAATTAAGCTATTTTTTGTTTACACGTTTCACCCTATTAATATCTGCATTGGACCCACCACGCAGCTTCAATATTGTAACGTACTAGATCTAGGCATGCGAAGAAACAGGGGAAAGCCATGGAAAAAAGGGGAAAAATATCGATTTCTGACTTTTTTCAAAACAATTTTTGGTATTTTTTAAAAGAGTTTGAAGCAAAAAAAATATGTAAGAAAAAACAACAACGGGACAGTAAATGTTTATTTTTTTAAGATTAATTTGCAGGAACTGTGTTTAAGGGTAAATTTGGTAAAAAATAATATGTATAGTGGATATCGTAAATGATATTAGGACGTTACAAGATTTCACTCGTGTTATCATTATCGTTTGTTTGTAGATAGATAGCGCTGTTATTCAAATCGCTCGTGCCATTTATTATGACTCATAAAGCCATACCTATCCTATAAAGATAACCCTAAGCAAATTGGGCGTTACTTCATTCCGTTGTAGCCTTGTGTACGTACCCTAGTTTTCGGTCAGTATTGTGGGTACTGAGTTAATCATAAAAAAATATGAAAATATTTACACTGTATTTTATAAAAATACTAGGTCGTTTGTGATTGACCGCTGTAGGTAAATGG